CATCCCACTTTCTGTGGGGTGAATTCTTTAGTAAATAAAAGGAGGAAGATACTATGTTTTTGTTTTTAAGAAAAGAAATGGAAAATTCCTATGCTTCTATTTAGAAAAGCATAGAAAAATTTTGGTTCTCTATAATCTACTACTTAGTTAATGCACAAGTTTTCAAAAGTTGCTGTGTGTAGAACCAGATTACCAGGAAGGTGTTCTCAGGTTCCTTAAATGTTTGGGGTTTCATTTCTAAATTATATGTTATGTGAATAATAAAAACCATGCTGTCATAGTCAAAGGTGTTACATGACTGATAATTGGCATGGTAGAGATGGCCTGTCTTATGCTCCTGGCAGGTTAATTCATTTCAGTGCATACCTGTAAATAAGCTTGCCCTAACGTTTTGATATAACAGAATATTTTTCACTGACTTTTGGTAATTTACAGTAGAACAGTCTTATTAGTCATCCACATACCAGCATCTGTTTGTGAATGTTTTTGTTCTGTAACCCAGTGCAGAAAGAGGTTGGGGCCAGAAGGGAGGAATGAATTGACATTTTCCTCTCACAGAGTCCTTTGTGATGGTTTCTCAACTCCTCGTCCAGAGGGAGTGAGGGCTAGACTTAATGGAATTATTCAGTAGGAGCTTTGTAAGGGCCTGATCAAAGGGTCACTAATTGTTTGGGAGCCCAGGTTATGAAAATGTGGCTCAGTGCTGTGGGAGAAGCCCTTGCTCACTCCCTTGGACCCTCTCCCATTCCTGCACAGAACCTGACCTGTTACTGTTTCTGGCACCCTTCTACCCTCCAAGGAATGAGTGATTTGAGAACAGTAGCTTGGCGAGTGGGCACCAGCATCCTCTATGTACCAGCCGGGTGCGGTGGCTCATGCCTGTAATCCCAGCACTTTGGGAGGCCGAGGCAGGTGGATCACGAGGTCAGGAGATTGAGACCTTTCTGGCCAACATGGTGAAACCTGTCTCTACTAAAAGTACAAAAATTAGCTGGCTGTGGTGGTGCGTGCCTGTAGTCCCAGCTACTCAGGAGGCTGAGGCAGGAGAATCGCTTGAACCCAGGAGGCAGAGCTTGCAGTGAGCCGAGATTGCGCCACTGCACTCTAGCCTGGCGACAGAGCGAGACTCCATCTAAAAAAAAAAAAAAAAAAGAAGAAGAAGAAAAAACGTATGGACCAAGTGAAGTTCCTCCCAAAAGTTTTGTAAGCGATAGATGTGGCAAGAAGGAATCACGCAGTGGAAGATGAAGTGCAGATGTCATATGGTGACAGCAAGTCCTAGACTGGCGAGGGGCATACTTGAAACATGTTACCGTGGAAAGTCCCAGAAATAATTGGATGCTGAGGTCCTGGTACGGCACAGGTGGAGGTTATCAAGTCTTAGATAATTTGGGTTATAGCTATTTAAAGATAATATCCTAAGATTTAGAGAGGAACCTTAAAAAGCTAGTACCATATGGTGACCACTTGAATCGGGGATGTTTTAACACTATATAATGAAAACAAGATACAGAAATAAATGGGATGCTGATGGATATGCCACTTTGTGTGAGGGTATATGTGTTCATATGCATTTTGAGATGTATATGTGTTCATCAAAATAGCCTTGCTTTTTGATTGAAGTTATAATTGAATGCTATACACTTAGAGTTTTTCTATACATGAAGATTGTGTGCTGAATGAATAAAAATAAATTATGTGTATATTATTTAAGCACATACAACATTTCACTTAATTAAAAACTTCCACTGAAAGCTGGATGCAGTGTCCTGCACCTCACTCCCAGCTACTAGGGAGGTTAAAGTGGGAGGATCCCTTAAGCCCAGTAGTTGAGACCAGCCTGAGCAATAGAGCGGGACTCCCATCTCCAAACAAAAATGAAAGCAAACAAAACAGCTCCATTGTGTTCCATTTTGAGTTTGAAAAATACACAAAAACAACAGAGAATAAGACCAGAGTAGGGAGGCAATTGCATTTTTTGACATTTTCTCATTTAAATGTAGTGGTTTTGGCTCTGGTTCCCTTAACAGAAACTGCTTTGTTAAATAGTATTGGCATAACAGAAAAGCAAACAAACAAAAAACAAAACATACCTAACATAAGGATGCATCATTGTTCAGGAATAAGATGGTAAATAATGCAGAGAGGCAGTAAAGGGAAAAAAGAAAAAGAAATCTCAAATAATCGATTGAAAACATAACTAAAGGTTAGCAGTTCTCCCTTCTTTCTTGCTCTCGTTATGAAAACAGAAAGATTAAATAGATTGATTCAAGCAGCTATGCTTTCAAATGCCATAAAGGACTCCTCTTCTGGTGCTGTATTGATAAACTGCCTGAGTGTTTCACTGGCATTTCAGTTTTACTAGCCCTGCAAGAATAGGCAGGGAGCGGTTTCTACCTCCCTGCCTGCCTGCCCTGGGATTGCTTAAACAATTTCTGTGTGTGCTTGTGCGAGTGGCTCCACACCATTACATGCTGGGTTAAAGGGTTCCTTCTCCGGGGCGCCTTTGAATTCCCTCATCACATGAATGGGAGACACAGCCTGTGACCAGCTGAACTTCATTATTTAGTTTACTGCAGTATTGTATCAGGAGAGCAACTACCTAGAAATGCTTTATGCCCACATCCCTATTTTCTTGGTGGGGGATTTATAGGCTTATTCGGCAAAATTGTACTGAGGTGGAGTAGCAACATCATTCTGTGTCTTCAAACAAACAGCCACCCTGCTGCCACTGATCAGTGTTCCTGGGATGGCAGTGATTGAAATTTAGCACTGAGCGCGACTTAATTGGCACATGGATCTGTTAAGCATATGCCCCCACCACAGGCATGCCATCTGATGTGCCCATAGGGTGTCCCGCACCTCACACATGCTCACGTTTTGCTAAAGAAGCAAGTTTTGAACAGGACCTGGAAGGAAGGAAGCTGTGCTGTAGTTTAGGAGAGGGGTGGCCTTAGATGACAGGTACTCAGGGATCTCTGCCTGTTTTTAAGTTATTGTAATTTTTTTTTCCCCTTGAACTCAGAACAAACCTAAGGTCAGGGAGTTCCAGTTTGCTTGCTGTGAAATTTAAAAAGTTAAGAATGTGTTCACTGATGCTTGTGCCTTCAGTAAAGCAAACGCTGTGCTAGTAGAGTGGAACTTGGATTCAGCATTCCTCAGCAGCTTGCAGGCCCGGAATTTAAGGTTGGAATGTTCTCTGCTCACTGTGGCTAGAACTGATCCCTTGGCCTTCAGAGAAGAATTCAGGAAATCAATGTCAACATGTTTCTGCTGAGTTGGAAACAGCTGGGCTGAGCCAAATGTTCTAGGTTATGAGTACCAGGAGGAAAATACGAACTTCGACAGAAAACTGAGCAAACCCATAATGTTTTTCCCTCACGTAAGAAGAGCAAGTAAAGTGGAGAAATCAGTGGTTAGGGACACACACTGCTCTGTGGAATCTTCTCAAGTGTCCTTGGGCTCATGTATTTCAAGTAACCAAGTGGACTGTGTTCATTGCTGCAGACACCAAGAGAAGCTGTCTTCTGGAGCAGCTGTGATGGGGAGAGTTTCGGTGTGACTGAGAAGGGGTATATAGCTCTTCATCAACTTCCCTTTTCTTTCATGAGCGCTTCTGTCCTAACCGGATCACGGACTCGTAGACTGAATCTGTTTTTCTTTGTGTTCTCTTCTGGCATCAGACAAAATCCTGGGCTCCTAATAAACGTTTAATATATGTTTGTTGAATTCTGAAAGAATGAAATGGTTTTTAGGTTCCTCTGGGTAAAGTTGAAAATAGTGCTGCTTTCGATGTCAGAGGAGGATTTGCTGCGAAGCGAATATAGCTTAAATTTAGCCTTCTGCAATTCTACGGCTTCTTTCCTGAGACCTGTTCCTAATTTTTGATTTTATCTGTTTCTTATGGAGGGTTCCATAAGAAACAGATTACACAGTAATCATCTGGACCCCATGAAATAGATTTGCTCCTGTTAAAATGCTGTTGTTTAGCCCTGCCAATGTGGCTTCTATTTTATGGCTTTCCTAGAAATTGGAAGTCAGAAGAAAGTTAAAACCAAGCTCACACAGGGCAAAGGGAAGGAACTAACATTTAAGAATCCCATGCTAGGCCAGGCGCAGTGGTTCATGCCTGTAATCCCAGCACTTTGGGAGGCCAAGGCTAGCGGATCACCTGAGGTCAGGTGTTCGAGACCAGCCAGACAACGTGGCGAAACCCGATCTCTAAAAATACAAAAAATTAGCCAGGCATGGTGGCGGGTTCCTGTAATCCCAGCTACTTGGGCAGCTGAGGCAGGAAAATTGCTTGGACCGGGGAGGCGGAGGTTGCGGTGGGCCGAGATTGTGCCATTGCACTCCAACGCGGGCAATATGAGTGAAACTCCATCTCAAAAAAAAAAAAAAAACAACAACAAAAAACACAAACCACCATGCTAATTGATATGTAATTTGTATTTATTTCCTAGTTTAACTTCAAACAGCAATTCTTTTTGGGAGATAGCATTACTCTTCATCCCCCTTAATAAATGGGCATACTGACTTTCAAAGAATTCTTTGCTCTCTCCCAAAAAGATGATAGCTGGACACATTGAGGTTATCCAGCTACCTCAATGCCCAGCTACTAGGGCTGGAAACTAATCATTGACCTTCCTTTCTCCCAGGCATCTGCTCAGTGAGTACCTGAAGTGTGTTCATATTTGGCAGTTCTGCCAGCCTTCCTTAAAAGCATTAAACCCACTAGGGAAAGAAATGCCTGGAGGAGCAGTTAACCCTTGCTGCAGGGTGACAGGGAGAAAGGTGGGGAGAGGATAGGCCTAAGCAGTTCAGTGGAAAGGCAGAAAGGCACGCCAACCCTTTCCCAGTCAGTGCGGCAAATGCTGTAACAATTCATTCAATTATGCTAAGCGCCTATTAAAGGAATCCTAAGCCCTCCCTTGGGCCATTTCAGTTCTAAGAGATTGTAATTGTTTGAGACTAACCATGATTTCTTCTTTTGCCTTCAGGTGATTCTCATTTTGACAAAGCTCTATGACTATAACCTGGGGAGCATCACCGAGAGCTCACTTTGGAGGTATGTAGATAAATGGAGCTAATAATTACCTTGTTATTTAAGCATGATGCCTGCTACTGCTGTCCCACTCACTTTTTCCTGGCAGGATGGTTCCTGGTAATGTGTACTCCTTGCTTTCTCTCTTTAGTGATGCGCTGGGGTTTATCTCCAGGCAGGCCAGAGCTTTACCTTCTTTATAGATCCCTTCTTTTAGTCAGTCAGATTCTTTTGCTAACCTGTACAATGGGTTGTGTTTATGCACCGTCTCACTGACCTTTAAGTTTATTGGATCAGAAGTGAGAGTGGAAGTCTCTTTGCAGAAGGACTCAGCACAGCCTCTTGGTCTGTAGAATGAGGCTCTCTACCAGGGAATTTTTTTATATTTTTTTGAGAAGGAGTTTTGCTCTTGTTGCCCAGGCTGGAGTTCAATGGCACGGTCTCGGCTCAGCTCAATCTCTACCTCCCGGGTTCAAGCGATTCTCCTGTCTCAGCCTCCTGAGTAGTTGGGATTACAGGCATGCACCACCACACCTGGCTAATTTTTTTCTATTTTTGGTAAAGACTGGGTTTCTCCATGTTGGTCAGGCTGCTCTTGAACTTCTGACCTCAGGTGATCTGCCAGCCTCGGCCTCCCAAAGTGCTGGGATTACAGGCATGAGCCGCTGTGCCCAGCCCAGAGCAACATTCTTTTACTAACTTCCCTTCCATGACGGTCCTGCAGCTCGCCAGCAGCACAGGCATATGTACCCACACTCATGCACACCCTTATCCTTAGGATACACACTGTATTACTTCACACATGTAGAGTGTGGAAATGATACAGGAATTTTTCAGTGCCTCTTTGCCAGCCAGAGACCTCTGCAGCCGGCAGTGCCTCTGCTTGAGTTTTGCTTGTGCCCACAGGGCTTGCTCTGCCCACTTGGCCCATCAGGCTGCACTCAGCTTATACAACTGGTCTATATCTCATGCCCGCCAAGGGCAAGCCAGGCGCGCCAGATGCTGTGGTGGGGTGGGCAGCTCCAGGCACTGGCTCTGTGCAAGGCTATGGCTGGACCAGGTGTACGGCAAGGGGCTTCTGCCTTGGGCGCTGGTGTCTGGATGAGGGGAATGCGGTGGCGCCCTAAAAACTCGGAGACACCAGCAATCACGGAACTCCAAAGGGGGTGTTACAGCATGGCACACAGCCCTGGCTTGGGGATCTGAGGTCTGGGTCCCCAGAAGGGTTACAGCTCTTCTCTCCTTCTCACCAGCCACAGTGCAGCAAATGGGGTGGGGGTGGTTTTCAGCTCGTTCGTGTTACGGCTTATTCAGTCCCACTGCTCTGCTCTAGCCCATGGCTCCTAGGCTGGCCCAGCCCCACTGCTACTCCCTGTTGTGTGGGGCAGCTGCCTGGCACCAACAGAGGACAGGAAGGCTACAGTGTTACAACTCCTTTCTCACTCACTGTTTGGTGGGTCCCAGGTTCATGTCCTGCATCCAAGAAGAATGAGGTTATACGGACAACTGGAGAGTGATGCAGGTAGAGAAGAGTTTTATTGAGTGATGGAACAGCTCCCAGTGGAGAGGAGGCCCAAAGCGTGTAGTCCCTTCTGGAAGGCGGGTAGTCCCAACGTGTGACTGAGGCCAGGGTTTTTATAGGCTCAAAATGGGGGAGGTACAAGCCGTAGGTAGAAAGAAAAAAGCATATTGGGTCTTGGAGGAGTTTCCCAACCATGATTTTGGACCCTTGGTAGCCCAACTGCCCAGTCATGCTGGTATTCAAGGAGCTCCTCTATGCTAAGGGATTTGTACCTATTCATTTGAAAAATTATTGTGATAGTGGTAGAAGGCAGACAGATTCCTAGGCAGATAGGGGGAAGCACCCAGTGAAACCCAACCTTTAAGCCACAAGACAGCCTGAAGCCTGAAAACCAAGCTGCCACTTCTGGGTATAGTTCCAATTACAGGGATGTAACTGAAAGTGTGGGAAGTTTGGTAGGGGCCTTAATAAAAAGTGTAATTTTTTAGTGCTTTAAGGAGCCAGCATCTACTATATTGCCTCAATTCTGTAACCCTTCATCAGAATCTCTGTGACTCTGATCAACTTCGTATTTCCCTGATAGATTTCTCTAATGGATCTCCATGTATAAGAGTAAAAGCCAGCATTTTTTTCTGCAGTGTATCTGCCATATAAAACATAGTCTGCATATTAGAAATTTAATCGATAATGCAGTTTTGTCGCACTGGGACAGAGGCTTTCAGCAGTCGTAACTCTCCACCTGCATAGTGGAAAGAACATGCTTGCGGGGCCTGAGGAGCTGGTCGCCCCAAACTGTAGAAGCTCAGGTTCAGTGTGCTTTTCTCTCCATGATGGGGCATTGTTACCGACGGCTCAGTCTAGGAAGAATGTCCTTTTTAAACTTAGTGGAAAGGGTTAATTTAAAAAATGGCATCACATTCCATTAGTATCAGGCTTCCCTTCTGAAGGAACAGTCTACTTGGGTGAAGTCTGGGAAAGTATGGCAAGAATGACCTGCTGGCTTCTGAATCTTAAGATGAATTTCACTGAAGGATGTATACTGTCATGCACTGCATAATGACATTTTAGTCAACGACACCATATACAACAGTGGTCCCATAAAATTATACTGTATTTTTCCTGTACCTCTTTTGTTTAGGTATGTTTAGGTACACAAATACTATGATGTTACAATTGCCCACAGTGTTCAATACAGTAAAATGCTGTATGAATTTGCAGTCTTGGAACAATAGGGTATACCTCACAGCCTAGATATGTAGTACGCTACACCCTCTAGGTTTGTGTGAGTATACTGTATGATGTTCACACGATGAGAAACTCACCTAAAGTCATGTTTCTCAGAATGTATCCACCTCATTAAGTGATACATGACTGTAGATACACATATAGTCAGCGTTCTCTCTCTGTGAGTTTTAGATCTGTTAACTCAACCCATCTTGGATCAAAACTGTTGGGGAAAAAAATTAAAAAACAACACTAGCACTAAAACAAGTAAAAAATACAGCATAACAACTATTTACATAATATTTATATTGTATTTGGTGTTACAAGTAATCTGGGAATGATTTTAAATATACTAGGGAGAAGATCAGTACATCATATGCAAATACTACACCATCTTCTATCAGGAATTTGAGCATCTGTGGATTTTAGTATTCATGGGGGGTTCTGGAAACAATCTCCTCCAGATACAGTGAGATGACCATGTGTATACGCCCACACACTATACCCATAGATACATAATATATTTTTAAAATATACTCCAATAGTCATTTGCCATATGTCATATACTGGTATGACTACTGCAGGTATGTGATATATTAGAAGCTGATAATTTTATTTATTTTAAATTATTATTATTATTATTTGGGAAAGAGTCTCACCCTGTCACCCAGGCTGGAGTGCAGGGGCATGATCACAGCTTACTGCAGCCTCAAACACCCAGATAAAAGCGATCTTCCCACCTCCACCTCCCAAGTAGCTGGGACTACAAGTATTTGCCACTACCCTAGGCTAATTTTTAAAAATTATTTTTATAGAGACAAGGTCCCATTTTGTTACTCAAACTGGTCTTGAGCTCCTGGGTTCAAGTAACTCTCCCACCTCAGCCTCCCAAACTTTCAGGATTACAGTCATGAGTCACCACGCCTGGTCATTTTAGTACTTTAATAGGAATGGCACATAACTTACTGAAAATATAATTTAGAAAAGAGAGAATAAGGTGGAAAATATGTATAATACTTCATATTATAATATATAATATTTCATATATAAAACCTCAGTAGGACTTTTGAACAGCTCACGGTGCCCATACTCAGAGTTTAGGGAACCTCCGTAGTTACGCTAATACAGAGGAGGAGTGGGACAGGCCTGGGTGGGTAGACGACAGGGGTCGGGAAGAGAAAGCCTATGGTTCTGAGTTGTCTAGCACATACTTTCTTGAGGGAAACTAGATGGCCTAGCACAAACTGACTTTCTCCTGCACCAGCTCATACTGTTACCAAAACACCAAGGATCCAGTCTCAGCCCTGCTGCTCACTGCACAGAAAGCCAATCACCGAGACGACGATTATTGCCAAGGAAGAAGGCTTTAATCAGGTGCTGGAGCTGAGGAGATGGGCGATCAGTCTCAAATCAATCTCCCTGACTCACTAAACTTAGGGGTTTAATATAGTTGGATAGAAATGTAACAGTGTGTTGGAACTCAGGAACTAGGGAAAGGTAAGGAAACGAAATGAGGGGCCTGGCATCTCATTGTCTGAATGCGACGAGCTGGTGAGTTTTAGTTCTTTGATACTTTTTGAGAGGCTTCCAGGGCCTTTTCTGAGGAAGGAACTCAGATGAAACAAATGTTAAGTTTCAAGCTTTAAGACAGGAAGGGCCAATTCCTATTTTTATCCAAAAGAAATGTGTATGGGACTAGTGGGGCGGTTTCAGTACTTTATGTTCAGAAAACCTGCCTATGCCAAAAATTGGGGACTATGACCTCAGGCAAGTCTTAGACATCTCCAAGGTACCCATGGCTCTGAGTACAGGAGTTAGCATATAAGCTAGTACTCAGTAACTCTGTTTTTAAACAGAGCAGTGAACACAACAAACTGAATGGTCATCCAAATATTATTTTATTATATTGTATTTTATTTCTTTTATTTATTCAACAGTGTTGTATTGATTAACTCCTTTATGCCTTGGAATGATCTGGTCCAGCAAGGGGAAGGTATGTGTGTGCCTAGATCAACAGCAGATAAGCTCTGTCTTCCAGGTGTTCCTTTTTAGAGGGGGACAAAGATCTGTGGACAGTCAAGGTGAGAGGAAAATACACTTGCATGTATCCCTCCTTATGTAATTGTATAGAATAAGTTATTGAAGCAGCCGCCCAGAAATGCCAGATCCCAGAATAAGATAGATATAATGTAAATAGACAGACTCTCACACAACCGTAAGTGTAATAAGAATATGAGATAAGTGTTGCTTCTTTACTTTGCTCATGTGGATATTTTCT